CAGCAGGAAGGAAAGGGAGGAGTGGTCTTGGATCATGTTTAATAAAACTACACAAATTGTCTGCAAGAGCTGGGAGCAACACACAGAAGTGTGCTCATCAAAACATACAGAAATGGTAACTGTGAAGGTACTATATTGCAGGACCATTAACAATGGCCTGTGGGTAGACTCCTCACCATATTTTGTATGCATATAATCAGGGCAAAAATATGGCACAATAGACCTTTACTGTAGGTTTGTTCTGGAGCAGAACAGAAGGAGAGTATAACCTTCAGTAAGTTTTCTTTCAATAAGGGAAAAAAAAAAAACCAAACAGAAGATTTCTGTTCCTCGGATTGCAAAGATATGACAAAACCTATATACAGTGAAGCAAAACCATATACCTACACCCACCAAAAGCTTAAAACAAGTCTGAACTGTGGAGCCAGTTCTTTGTTGAATGAGGCCTGCACATTTGAAAACATGATTCAGCAGCAAAACTTTTTAGGAAGCATCTGCTAAATGTATAAAAATCCTGTTAGAATGTAAAAATGGGTAGTCACATTAGAATGATGAAGTGACAGGTCACTGAATACTTATCAGTGAGAAGATGTTTAGAAGATTGAAAATACCATCACAGGAGTTTCGGTTAGTTTCACTGGCCTTGTACCCCGGCCTACAGGAACAGATAAAGCCTCCTTCATTCAGGTTGGTACAGTTATGTTCACAGATATTTTCTGCACAAGTTCGCTGTGTTCCAGGATCTGGGGGGTGGGGGGAAAAAAAAAATACAATTATAACCAAAATATAAAGTGATAAGGGGAGGAAGGTATCATAATTTTGATCATTATTATAATTGAAAATCATTTTCAAGTAGATGATGTTACTTTTCTTTCCTTTTTTTCTAACTGAAACTCAAATTAATGTGAACCTCTATTTTCTAACGCATAACTAACTAGAAGAGGGTGGTAAACTCTGGTCAAGACAGCTGTCAACTACGAAGTTTAACCTCTAGAAGTAAGTGAACACGGTCAGGATAACAGCCATAACCATCCACGCTCACCTTCCTTAAGGGAATTCTACATTACCACCAACCTACAGCAGCTGCAGAAACTATTTAAGAGACTTGACTCTAACCCCTACCTTTGCCAACCTATCTCTTTCTTACCCAGTCCTTTCTTACCAGCTAAAAAAAAAATGCTCTCAAGTTGCTATCATGCATAACGCAGGCCCTACATTACATCTGGAAATTAGAGAGAAGCTGACAGCTTGTTCACACCGTACCTAATGTAAAGCCTACTGAAGTCAATACAGGTATTGCACAGAATGCACTGCCCTTTAAGACATGACTATAATGGAAAAGGCAAGTCAGGGATAATAGATATTCTGTAACAGTTAATGAAAATTATACTCAAAGTACATACAGAATTCTATTGATTCTGACATACTCTACATATACAGAAAGTACTTTCAAACTCATATCTGTTGTATAAGTAGAAAAGAGAAACAATATAAGTTTACTGACAGAGCATGAGAAAAAGATAGAGATGTATGGCAAAGATTACATTAAGCTGATTATCTCCTTTATACATACACATCCCAGTGCTGATTAAATTAAGTTTAAACAGCTCAATTTCATATACATATAGAAGCATAAATTCACTGTATACACACACATACATAAATATTCTATTTTCTCTATAACACAGGTTTTTGATGTTGGGAAGGCTAGAAATGTTACCATTTGATCTGCATTTACATCTATCCCCAAACAGTAGAGCGCTGACTGCCAGAAGGTGTCTGTTTTGCACTGTTTCATATCCTTTTTATACTTTTATATTTTCATCAAGTCATTGCATTAGGTTATATTACCTAAAGACCATTGGGATGGTATGTGAAACAGAGAAACCAGCTGCTTCAAAATGGACTGCACTATAGGCTTCTGAGTTATTTGTGTTTTGCAAGCATGATTCTATGCTGGATTGTAAATCACCAGTGCATCATTTGGCACACTTTCACTTGAAGGCATCAAAGCCTGACAAATTGAAATTGCAAGTACATGCTCATATTATCACTCTGCAGCTGTCTATATATTGATATAAAAAGTTAGGAATTACATTTTTTTCCCCAGATTCCATAAGAATACCTTCTCTTGCCTCAAAGTTCAAGTCAAAGCTTTTGCATCTAAATGGATGCTAGTAAATTTATAATTCTAGATAATAAAAGTTGTGCAGAGGATCTGAGAGGGCCCAAGGACTGGCTGTCCTTATAGAATTCTGTGGTCATGTCTGTAAAGAGGAAAATAGAAGCATCTCAATAGACTTTTGTTTTTAACAGGGCTAGAGCAACTTATACCAGTTCAGAGTCTGCCCATGAATAATTTCATAGGTTGGCCTATTGCAATTATGAGTGAAATACCTGGATGTTCTTGCCTCCATAATGCAAGCCATTTCAAAACAAGATCAAAAACAAGATCAAACCCTTTTTTGTGATGCATAAATACTCTTAAGCCTAAAAAGAACTGTTCAGAGTGCTGAATTTCATAGAATCATAGAATCATTTAGGTTGGAAAAGACCTTTAAGATCACTGAGTCCTACCATAAACCTAACACTGCCAAGTCCCACTAAACCATGTCCCTAAGTGCCACATCTACACATCTTTTAAATACCCCAAAAGAAGGAGAACAGAAGATATTGTCATGGCTAATTGTATAATCCTAGCACAAGCTAATTAAAAATCAATACTTCTTAGTATGCTATTCAAGACGACACATGTATTGTTACCAGTTTCAGGATTGTTTATTTCAATAGCATTGTAATTTTGTATTCTATAGATATTATTACTTACTGCAGCCCATTTCATCAAAATGGTCTCCACAGTCATCATAATTGTCACAGACATAATGTAGAGGAATGCAATTTCCATTACTGCACTTGAATTCCTCAGTTGTACAAGGTCTTGGGGTTGGTTCACTACCTACAGTCGAGAACAGAAACACTCCTCTGTCGCAGTTTCAGCTGTGCAGTACCAACAGACAGCACTATTCCACATTGCTAATGAGAAACCTGATGCAATCTGGTAAAATGACAACTAGAGTGACTTTGGAAGTCTATAGTAAAGCTAAAACTATAACCAGGGCCTCCTGACTTATAGTCACATCCCCATGAACTGAAAGAAGCCCCTCCATTTTATGAAGACAGAAGGTAAATTCTTCTTAATAGTTTATTGAACTTCCTTTTTAATAGTGCAAATCTATTAATATGCTTTAACGATATACTTCATACATCTACTGCAGACTTCAAGAGATTATTGAGATACTAGTAAATTATTGAAAATATTGTCCAATAAAGCCAGAAAATAATACCACTAAGCAACCAAAAATATGATTAAACTTGACAATATAAAAATCAACATAGTCAGTGAGAACTATGTAAGATATCTGAGGGCAAAAACCTATATAATACTAACAAACCTTCTGCAGGATTTGGGCCTTAATATCAATACTGTTACTATGTGCATAACAGTGCCACAAATTCAGAAGTACCTGTTTCTCTATTTTAAAAGTCCCAGCTATCCATTCCATCCTTATTTTATGGCACAGCCAAACTCTTTCTTCTCCCTTATTTTAAGAGGAGTTCATAATAAGTTGACACAATTTAGCTGCTGCTCATAATAAAATACAACATGATTTTGAAAATCATGCTCTGTACTTTTCAGACAAATGTTTGCTCATTTTTGCTACTTGTATGGAGAGCTGTGAATACATAGTACGAACAATCATAGTTCAAATTATTTCATACTGAGCTCTAGTTTTCATAATTTATGTTTAATCTTGACATTTATATAGTCCTTTGGTATTATTAAACATTAAGCACATCACAATTACTGAATTTACTGCTCAATTTTGTGTAAACATACAGTGTTCCTCTTTCTCATCACTTCCATCTCCGCAGTCATCCTCCTGGTTGCACAGCTCATGACTATATATACAGCGATTGTTTTCACATCGGAAACGGAATGGAGATTCACAATCAATATCCACTGAAACCATAGAGATCAAGTCAGTCACACTTTGATACTTCATGCCATTGAGTCACAAATTATCCCAATCGGTTTTATGTGGTAACATTTATATGTTTACTGTATTTTAAAAGGTGTGGAGGCATTCAGACCCAAAAGAATACTTTCTCCACATTTTGGTGATTGTATATTAGGACATCACACATTTTTTGTCAGAAAACAGTACATCATCTTTAGCCAAAGTCATATCCTATGACTACATATAACACTGAGGTTTCTAGATTTGTTTATGAAGTAAACTGATTGAAAATCCAACATGCTATTTAAGTGGCTATAGAGTACATAACTGACAAAAATTGTTTAAGTAGCACCTCCAATACCTCATTTTTAGAGCTAAAGTCAGGACTCTTCAACCATATTTACTAAGATGTCCCAACTACACTGGTAGCTTTAAAAGCTCAGCACCTTTGAGAATATACATTATCTGAATTAATCTTTAATTGCAAACTGATGCTCTTATTTCAGATAATCAACTTGAAAATGTGAAATAGTGTCCTTATCTCTCTGATATGTTTCTCACCACTTTTATAACCACATATACAAACATCTGCAAAGCACTGAGAAACATACTGTAGGAAGATCATAGAATCATAGAATGCTTTAGGTTGGAAGGGACCTTGAGAGATCATCGAGCCCAACCCCCCTGCAGTAAGCAGGGATTGAACCTGTGAACTTGGCGTGAAGTGAACTTGCATATGAAGCAAAATTCTCAGCACTCATCCTGAAGTTAGTCTGACAGAGTCTCCAGTGAAAACAAAATATTTAAAATTTATCTTCTAATTGTTCTCTCTACTGTAATTAGAGATTTTTATTATGCATATTGTTCATTTTAATATATTTTTCTTTCTTACAGCAAAGGTGAAGTTCTTCATCAGAGTCATCTCCACAGTCATTATCACCATCACATTTCCAGTATGGCTGGATACAGACATGGTTTTTACATTCAAACAGCATGGGTGGACAGTATGTACCATTAGGATACCGTGTTGCTGAAGAAAAGAAAATTATTACAATATTTTCATTTACAATTAAAATTTTAGGTTTTCCTGAAAAATATTCAGCCTGACCCTATATTGTTTTTTTCAATACCCTTCTCTCCATAGTAGGAGATATACTATGAGGCACTGCAAAGATCTACAGCAACAACAGACTGCAAGGACTGAGGACTTCTTGGTAGCTATAACATAATTCATTAAGGTTTGAATGAATAGTGAAACAACGTAGGTTACTCCGAAAAGCTTTTGAAAATAAACTGTCATTAATTTAACAAATGCTACTTGAATTTGTTACTGACAAATCTAGTTCAGTAATAAAGGTAAATAATGTCACTGGCACCAAATGTGAATGACTGAAGAAGTACCTAAGATATCCAATTCCAAAAGGACTCACGTTGGTATAGTAAAAAAAATTCCTAGATGCTGTAAAAGCTGTGAAAAAAACTGAACTAGAGCAAAGAGAAACCAAAAATATGACTCTTTCGACCTACATAAATAAACCATACCCTTGCCCTTTCAATGGCTTCTCACATGCTTTTTCCTCCCTTTAAGAACAGCTGAACATTGTGTGTCAAACCAAAGGTTCTGAAAGATTAACTGTTGCAATGTACACTCCAGGATGTGGTTACCATCAGAAAAGTGAGGGTCCTGCCATGCAGATGCCCCTTCTTACTTAAAGCACAGATGTTAGAATTAGGTGCACAGGAAGATTTACAGAACTGCCCTAATACCAACACGAAGAGAATGGAATTCTCCCAAGCACCGAAGCCTAAAATCATTTGAACATGTAAGTCAGAACCAACGCTTCAGTATCACCTAAAAAGCCAATGTCAGTCAGCATAGGTACAGCAGAGTTGGTATTTTCATTCCGACTGGGAACAATACTTTCTGGGTAAACAGCTGTAGCTCCATACAAGCTACAGTATACAGACATTTTTTCACACTAGATCAATATACAGAAGGAAGACAGAAAGAGAAAAGTATTCTACTTCCTTGGCTTCACTGGTACTTTAGGAAACTATATACACCTTTGAGCATTATAAAACCCAATCCCATTACAGAACCTTATTAGAATATGGTACAACTGAAACAGTGGATCTTGGAGCATCTGTGGAATAATCAAAAATTTGAATTCGATCATATGTGTGTCTTCTGCTGGACCTTGTCAACACATTAATTTCCTAGCATTAGGAATGTGTTTACAACCAGTGTAAGAGATGGCAACCCATTATTAAAAAGCTGATTGAAAACATTATACTTATCCTGAACTTTTACTGATAACACCAAGTGTTGCAGAATTCTGTACCTCTAAGGAGTCATCTCACTTAAAGAGAGAGAAAAGTGCAAGTCTTTCTGGAAGTGAGCTCAATGAGCACCAATTGCAAAGCTTGAAACTCACGACAAGTTGCTTCATCGGAGAAATCAACGCAGTCTGCATTTCCATCGCATCTGAAGCGCTCTGCAACACAGTGTCCACTATCACACTGGAAATAACCTGGGTGGCAGGTCCTCAGCTCTGAAAAGATTCAGAAGTAACTGTTGAAATGTCGTCTTGTTCAAATCTAGATAATGTGTTTACTTTTTGAGAACAACATCCTAAAAAAGACTGCAAAATCCCAGACCATTAAAACTGTGGTATCCTCTACTTTTGGTGGAATGACTAAGGTGGTCTGCTCAACATTACTCCATTAAAGATGCTTCCCATAAAAGATAGTGTCGTGGTTTAGCCCCAGCCAG